CACACCCGGCACTTTTCCCTGCAACCGCAGGAAGTGCTACACCTGCCTCCATACCTCCTCCCTCACCCCCATCCCAGGCCCCAAGAAGACTTTCCACATCAAGCAGATGTTCACCTGCACATCTGCCAATGTGGTATGCTGCATCCGCTGTACCCGGTGTGGCTTCCACTACATCGGGGAAACCAAGCGGAGGCTCGGGGACCGCTTTGCAGAACACCTACGCTCGGTTTGCAATAAACAACTGCACCTCCCAGTCGCGAACCATTTCAACTCCCCCTCCCATTCCTCAGACGACATGTCCATCCTGGGCCTCCTGCAGTGCCACAACGATGCCACCCGAAGGTTGCAGGAACAGCAACTCATATTCCACTTGGGAACCCTGCAGCCCAATGGTATCAATGTGGATTTCACAAGTTTTAAAATCTCCCCTCCCGCTACCGCATCCCAAAACCAGTCCAGCTCGTCCCTGCCTCCCTAACCTGTTCTTCCTCCCACCTATCCCCTCCTCCCACCTCAAGCCGCACCTCCATCTCCTACCGACTAACCTCATCCCGTCCCCTTGACCTGTCCGTCCTCCCTGGACTGACCTATCCCCTTCCTAACTCCCTACCTACACTCACCTTTACTGGTTCCATCCCCGCCTCTTTGACCTGTTTGTTTCCTCTCCACCTATCCTCTCCTCTATCCCTCTTCTATCCGCCTCCCACTCTCTCCCTATTTATTTCGGAACCCCCTTCCCCTCCCCCTTTTCTGATGAAGGGTCTCGGCCCGAAACGTCAGCCTCTCTGCTCCTATGATGCTGCTTAGCCTGCTGTGTTCATCCAGCCCTGCACCTTGTTGTCTAAGATAAATGGATAAATTGGTTAAAAAGGAATGGGGATCCTTTATTAGTCAAGGCGTAGAATATAAGTGCAGAGAGATAATGCTAGAACTAGTTAGACCACAGCTAGAGTACAATGTACAATTTTGGTCACTGCATTATCAAAAAGTTATCATCACATTCGAGAAGGTACAAAGTAGATTTGTAATTCTGAGTCATGAGACTAAGCTCCATTGTAGAGACTTGAGAATATAGTCTTCGAATTCCATCTTTCAGATAAAACGTAAAACCAAGGCCTCAGCAACCGTCTGTGGTGGATGTATAAGTTCCAACATTTTAAAGGAGAACAGAGAGTTCCAGCTGGTGTCATGGCCAAAATCACTAAAACAGCAAATACCTGGTCATTTATTGGATTGTGTTTGTGGGATCTTGCTGCGTACAACATGACTAGTGAAGTTTGTTGCAACAGTGACTGCATGCCATTGCCTTCTTGGCATGGGACATGCCAATCCTGTGACTAATTGCTCCCTGCCTGCTCCCACACCCACTACCCCTTTCCAATATGTAATATGCCCTGCTTTGATTCCCAAATATCAACTCAAATTTCTCCAGTGATTGAACACCAGACTTCCCTTTTATGACTGCGATGCAACATTTTTAAATCAGGCCATGTGCACACAGCCCAGTGGCTCTGTGGCAAAGTACCTGTTCTAACTTCAATAGATAGTTGATGACATTCAAAGATAGAATGCCTGGTATTTATAATACTTTATCTCAGCCTCTCAAAACCATGCCGAAATACTTCACATAAAATCACTTTGAAGTGCCATTCAGCCATCAAACTCCTCCAGACACTAATGTGATGGTTGTTGATTTGTTAATTTTGATGGTGTTTTCTGGGATTGTTGTGGCAAAGATGGAGCATACAGAAATGGAGGTAACCCCATGGTATGGGTAAGTAATTGGTTGAGAAGTTGGACACAGTGTTTAGAAATAAAGGGAATCAACTCCACCTGGGGCAGGTTGCAACAAATGTGTCCCTCAGGGTCTTGTACTAGGACATCTCCTTTTTACCAATAATTGGGATAAAGGCTATCAATTAATGAATCCAGGTTTGCAGGTGACAGCACGTTTTGGGGGCAAAGTCATGTGTGTAGATGGGAACAGGACAAGGTGAATTGTCATTTCATCATTAATGTAGTTGCACCTGAACCACCAGAACTAATGGACAGGCAGGAATTGGTTTAAGATGTGATTCAAACAATGATACCTTCGAGAATGTACCCATATTCACAAACCACAATGCTTGCCTAAATTATTTAGATCCTGGAGTGGGATTTGAACTCCCCAATTTTATGGCTTGGAGGTAAAATGGGGACAGAGAATGATGTGGAACAAACCTCGATTTTGTGTGCTTATCATAACCAGCTCAATGAAGCTGCATAGTTTGTGAGCATGGACCTTGTTGATAATCTTGGTGAAATAAACGGAATATTCTACTTTGCACATTCCCTGTTCTCAACAGCTTAGGTTGTGTCTAGACATTTTGTCATCTTTGCCAAGACTTGAGCACAAAATTACTTGTAAGGCCATTGAGAAACAATTCAGTGAGCTGATGAAATCTTTTGCCAAACAATAAGGTGCCTCTAGAATTGAGTAGCAAAGATTCCCTTGACTGTGCAGTGATAGAAGGTAAACTGCTAATTCTTTTTTATTTCCCACTGTCCCCGACCCTCCCACCTTCCCTGTCTTACTCATGGCCACTCACCTGGAGAAAGGTGAAAGATGCCAGAAACAGTTGGCATTGGTCTTGTTTTG